GACAATGATCTGGTCTCCCATGAGACAATGGGAACGGAGAGGAGGGTGTGGATTCCAAACGAATTCTTGGTGATGGATTGAAAGAGATGGAAGAAAGAATAGAGGAAGGGTGAGGGGCATTCAGAAAAGGAGTGCCAGGTTATTCTTGGGTTTCTGTTTAGGGTGACTCACAGACGGTGACATTATTCACCAAAAATAATATAGGGTAACTTGGAAAATGAAGAGGCATTCATTTTTAAGTAAGTTCAATTTGAGATGCCTAGGGAATCCAGGAAGCAAAGCTGTGCTCTGGCCCCTGACATTTGAATCTACAGACTAGAAGCAATGAGCTGCCTACATGGTCATCAGCCTATAAAAACAAAACTAACAAACCCAAAAAACAAATACCATTAAATTGATTTCTGATTTCTAGGGACTGTCTCGAAAACTCTGTGGCCTAATTTGCAGGGAGCTGTGCTAACTCAGAGGAGGTACGACTCTCTGGTAGTTTGAATCCACCATCAACTCCTTGGGGAAAAAGGTGGGAAAGTCCTCCTGTGTGATTTACAGTCTTGGAAACCTATGGAGGGTCAGTGATGAGTCCGTTCCAGTGCAATGGTAATGAACTTGAGTTCTGTTGGGGTTTGGTTGTTAGTGACTATATGTGTTTCAGAGCAGAACTGTGCTCCACAGGATTCTCTGTGGCTGCTTTTTCAGAGGTAAATCACCAAGACTTTTTTCAAGGCACAACTGAGCCGACTCACATCACTGTCCATTCATTTACAGCCTATCGAGCAAGTGAGCCAGGTACCACCAGGGATGCTCATCAGCCAGTGGGAATGTGAACTGGATAATAACAGGGGAGACTAGGGACACCGTTTCGGAAATATTAACTAACACTTAAAAGACTAAAGGAATTAGAAAATCCCACGAGGAAGATTAAACAGAGGAAGAAGGACACGTGCAGAAACTAACTTAACCAAAGCCAGGATAAGAGATCCAAGAAGGAAGGGGCAAGAATAATGCAGAGCTGTGGCACAGCATCAGGCAGGGCTTTGTTCTGTCGTCCATAGAGTCATTATGAATCAGAGCCGATCGTACAGTACCTGACATCAACATACAGTAGTCCAAGAAGCCTGGTGATGTGGTGGGTAAAGCATTCTACTGCTAACCAGAGAGTCGGCAGTTCAAACCAGCTGTCATTCCATAGGTCAAGGATGAATCAGTTTCCTTTCTTGAATATTTAAAGCCTTGGAAATTCTCCTGGCTAGTCTTACTCTATGCTATTAAGAGTTGCTACAACTTGTGAGTTGTGGTGTTCATGAAGAGTATTCAATGTATCACCATGGACTGCCGAAAGAACAAAGAAGAGATCTGTCTTGAAGGAAGTACAACCAGAGTGCGCCTGCCAGGCAAGTATCACTCACTTTGGGCAAATTTCCCTTCCAAGAAATGGCTGTCTTAGAGAGGAATATCATGCTGGGAGACGGACTGCACAGTGACTACGCTAACGGGCTTGAGTACAGAGAGCGTGAAGGTGGCCCAGGACAGGACCAGCCTCACATCTGGTGTTCATAGAGTCATTATGAATCATAGTTGACTTGATAGCATCTAACAAGAAGCCAGAGTCAGTGGTATGGGTTTGGGTTTCTCACACAGCAACTTTGACAGTGGTAAATGCTGCCTCTGCTTACTGGACCCTTCTTTTCTGCTAAGCACTGAATGATGCACTTACCTGGCATGCAGTCTCTCTGACCTCACAGCAGGGTGATAAAGCCACAGTGTCGCTAGGATCACAATGACCAGCCTTTGTGTTGTTATGTACCCTTGAGTCAGAACCATCCCATAGCTGACCCTCTAGTGGGTTGTTGGTTCAAATCTACCTACTGGCCTGCAGGAGAAGGATAAAGCAGTTGTCTGTGTAAAGCAGCCTCAGAAACTGAAGGAAGGTCACCATCAGTCAGAATCGACTTGATACCATTGAGTTTGGCTGTGTAGGTTAAGTGTGCTTGAGGCGTGTTTGCTTTTTCAAGATGGAAAAGTCTTAAGTTGAACCAAGCCATGGAGTGACATAACATAAAAATTCTATCCTTGAGGCAAAATACCTCATAGGAATATAGCCATTATTAGTTAAGAAAGTTTGGCCTATGGCCTTTACTATGAGAAGTCCTCTGTCCTCCCTCAGCACTCTGCAAACCCCACATATCTCGCTTGTCTCTCTCTATTAAAATATCTAGTAAAATGGTGTCTCCTTAAAAAATAAGGCATTTCAAAAACATAAAATAAGACCAGGCTTACTGGTTTGAGAAAGTCTGGTGGAAAGACCACAGAAACTATGACCTCAAGACACCCTTCAAGGCTGAACTTACCCCTGAGCTTAAACAATAGACAAGGCCTGTGTTGGTGGTCTCCTCTGCAGGGAGTTGGGCTGCTAACCCAAAGGTTGTACTTCTTGGGCAGTTTTAATTCACTACTGGCTCCTTGAAAGAAAGATGGCAATGTCCTCCTGTGCAATTTACAGCCTTGGAATCCCACCCAGGAAAGAATATGCTCTTCAGTGGAGGCAATCATGGGAGACTGAAGGAGTGGTATGTGTCCCAACAAAGCTTAGAGGCAAGGAAGGCGTGGGAAAGAACGTGTGGAAATAGGAAACCCAGGAAGGAAATGGGAAGAGTGCAGTGACATTGGGGGGGATCCTACATCAGGAAACAAACGTGTATCATTAGTTGCATGAAAAACTAGTTTGCTCTGTGACATTTTACCAAAGCTACAATAAAATGTTCAAATAAATAAAAATTTTAGAAGTATCTTCTAAAGTTGCATATTTTCCACCAGGCCAACACCAATCTTTTTATCATCTTCTATCTCCATCAGTCGCCTGGTTTAAAGCAGGCACCCAACACATGTTTGAACATAATTAATTAACATTTTACCCACTATTTTTAATTAATTAACATTTTAATTAGTTATCTTTTCCCCCTCCTTATAGCTTAACTTGCCCCGATGACCTAAAAAAACAGCAGCTCTGATTCATCCTGGCTAAGAAATGCCTGGCAATCTACTTCTATTAAGATTGCAGCCATTGGTAACTTTATGGAACACGGCTCTAGTGTGAGGCACGTGGCGTTGTTATGAGCTGAAGCCACTGGACTTGACTCAGTTCTACTCAGTTGATTTAGCTCATAGTGGTCCTATGAACAGAGAAAACTCCCAGAAAATTTTACAGAGGCAGACTGACTTCTCTTGCACTTTATGGAGCAGTTGGTAGATTTGAACCACTGACCTAATGGTTAGCCATCAAATTCAGTAACAACACCACCTTTCTCTCACTTCCATCAAGTCCATTCCAACTGAGAGCACCACTGCATGGAGGCTGTAAATTTTAGCTGGGAGAGACTGCCATCTCTCTCCTGTGGGGCAACTGATGGATCCGAATCACTGGAGATGCAGCCTTTTAATTAGTAGCATGACATCCTCAGAACTAGGTCACCAGAGCCACTCACTGTACCACCAGGCTCCTTAATTGACTGAACAGCAATGGATTTTTAGGAGACAATTAGGGTAAGTTTTTCAGAGTTCTTGGGTCAAGCCACGAAACCAACTCTGACACAAAACAACTGTTAGTGGAAGGGCACTGGGCTACTTGAGAAATTCATAGGAAGAGTGCAGCTCAAGGTTGAAACCCAAGGCTGTGGAAGTCACCCCAGTTCACTTAGACTAGTTAGGCTCCTCTGCTGGCAAAGTTTAAATGACTAAAAAGCCACTGGACATTGCTACCCTTCCCCTACCACCATTAATAAACTTCAAGTGTGTCCTTCATTTTTTTTGGAGGGGGGTCCTTGATCCTGAATTAAAGTCCCAAATGGGGCATCTTATTGTCTGGGCCCACGGTACTTTAGGGCAGAACTGCTCTACAAAATTTCCAAGGTTATACATCTGTCTAGGAGTAATCTTCCTTGGAGAGGCTGCTGCAGTGATTCTATGCTAGATTCCTAACTGAAAGGTGGATAGTTCAAACCCACCTGCCATTCCAAAGGAGAAAGGTGGCAATCTACCTCCGTGACACCTGACACCCTGGAAATCCTTTCAGAGGTCTCTCTGTCTCACACAGTCACCAGGCGTCAGAATTAGGGGTTCTGGTATCGGTAGGGAGTTGCAGTACTAACCCAACGGCCATGATTCTCTGGCAGTTCTTATCTACCATGTTCTCCTCGTGAGCAGGACAGGCAGTTTTCCTCAGTGCAATTTATGGCCTCAGAAAACCTGCTAGATTTTTCTAGGGTTTTCTGTGAGTTAGTAGCTACTGGACAGTAATGAGTGAGTGAGTGATGATTCAGAAGTGGCTTAATGACAATGCGTCTGAAATTTATGGTTTTCAACTTTTTAAAATAATTGTCTGGGCCAGATTACTGTTCCTGTTCCATTCACCATGGGATGCAGGCAGATTCTCTTTCTCCTTTTTGAAAGGCCCTGCTCTGATCAAGATCCACATCATGCCCTGAAATAAGAAAGCAAGTTTGGACTCTGAGTGGTAATAAAACTGTCTACTATAGTGACTAAAAGGATTCCGAGTCATTGATCTGAAGCCCAGCCTCCTCTACAATTCTGAAAAATATAAATATGATAGATTCCTGGCTGTCTGAAATGGTTTAGATAATCATTCCATGAGACAGACTGAAATGTAATATATTCTTACAAGGCTATCATCTCCTGAAACGCAAGAAGTATCTTCCAGTCAAAGTCTTATCAGAGGAAGCCTGAGAGCTCAAATGAAGAATTATGTTTCTTTATTTTTATGTGTTTTTATTTCAAGCCCTTGCAACAAAGAAGTGGTGAGAGGATATATTTCCTCCCTCCTGTCTTCTGTCTCATGTTTGTGACATTAGATAGAGTAGGACAGCATCTGTGTTTCAGGCAAATAATGTGTGAAAACAAATTTCCAAAAAAAAAAAAAAATGTACGGTGTCGACATAAAAATAAAACTAAAAATGTACCTGGTCTCCGCTTTGTAGAATTTCTACCGAATCTGCCTGTGAATGGAATCTAATTGCTCCCCACTGCTGCTAGAGCCTTCTGCTAACACCATGTTTCCATTAAAAGGAGAAGTCAGTTATAACCTCATGCTTTTCATACAGAAGTCCTAAAAAACCAAACCAAAACAAAAATAGGAATGATGACCAGTTGGTTGTTTAATAATTTATGTTTTCTTCTTGCCAGGCCATTAGAGGGACGAAGCTGAGCTTCAAGTGCAGGAAATATCGTTCACCTGCAGCAACGGTAAAAAAAAAAAAAGCTTTTTACTAAAGTGTTAGAAACGGTTCCCTGCTTTTGAGCGATGACTACTGATTATTTTCCAGTTCTTCATTTATAAGCAGAGAAAGCCTTCTTCATCACCTGTTCCTGTTGCCATGGGATTGGCACAAAAATACTACTTCCTGCAATGCTGAATTTAAGAAAGAAGAAAAAAAAAAAGAAGAAAAACCAGAAGGGCCAGACTTCACACACTTGTTGCCGAAAAACCTATGGAATCCTTCATCCAGAGGCAGGAAGAGGTACTATTTCATTTTTGCAAACTCGGTAACGTTGATGTACATGACCGGTGCTCCTTCTCTTCCTTTTCAAGTGGTTTTTCTTCATCAGTGATTTGAGCAGTCAGTATCCATTTGACGAGTTGACCAGCTCGGCTTGGTTTTGAACTATACAGTTCCTAGTGAATTACACTTCTAACCCCAGAGACAGCGCCTCCCTGGCAGTTCAAATTCACCAGCAGTTTCATGGGAGAAAAGTGGGCAAGCTCCTCCCGTGTTGTTGTGACGTGCCATCAAGTCAACTGTGACCCATAACAATTCTATGAACAACAAACTCGACCCCAAGCTGCACCACTCCCACAATCGCCAACCACACTGAAGCCCACTGGTACTGTCTTTGTTGAGGGTCTTCCACTTTCTCTAACCCTCTGCCTGTCCCACCCTGATGTTTTGTTCCAAGCACTGGCCCCTCCTGACAACACGCTAAAGTGTGAGAGGTGGAGTTTCACCATCCTCGTCTCTAAGAAAAGACAGCAATACAGTTAATACTGTAAAAGGAAACAACGCTCCCAGAATAATCTTTTTAAAGCACAGTTCCAATCAATAACTCCTCTAATTAAGTCTAATGTCTCTTTAATTCACTACCTAATAATTGAGTCCAGAGTCCTGCCTCTGGAATCCAAAGGTCTTCAATTTAGGAAGACCTAGCTTCTCATAGTCTATTGTACTTTTGTATGTGCAGTACAGATGAGCTCATGATTCTTAATCCTGGTTGTACATCAGGATCACGTGGGGAACTTTCAACAAGAAAACGTGCTGATGCCCAGGGCTCTTCTCACGCTGATTAAAAATGGATCTCAGGGGAGGAAGCCCAGGCATCAGTGTTTGGGTTTATTGTTGTTGTTTTAAGCTTTGTATTTTGGTTATGAACGGCTACAAAACATATTTGTGTAAAACAGCAACTGTTGAACCACGTTCCTCAATTCACAGCACTGATGGCCTGTCTCTGGTGTCTGTAGATGAAGCTGAGACAACTCAAATGTCTGGGGATGTCTTCCCGAGTGGGGGCTGCATTATCTGCAGGCTCCTTCAGTCACAAGTCTGTTGCTGAAGGCAGGATGATGCAAAGGCTGGACTCCGTTGGGACCGTCTGTCAGGGTGCCCACACAGGCCTCCTTGTTTAGCTGGGCCTGTCTGGAGCATAGTTGTTCCTGTTAGTCAGATTTCTTATACGGAAGCCAAGGGCTCCATGAACAAATGTTTCCCTGAAAAAGGAGGGGCTGCAGGGCATTTTATGGAGCTAGACACAGAAGGTACAAAGCACCACTTCTTCTGTCTTTGATGTTACTGAAGCAATCACAACTCTGAAGATTCAAAGGAATAAGACCCCATCTTGGTTTGGTGGGTTTGGGTTTTTTTTTTTTAACCATAGAGGCCAGCGAATTTATGGCTACCTTTAAAAATTTCTACCCACTCCAGGTGATGCCAGGGGTAAGGATAACAAGGTTCATTTCTTTCAAACACTCATCTGTGCAGCAGGACTCGGACTTGAGGGAAGTGAATGAGGTTGCAGAAATTATGGAGAGTCCTGCAAGTGGAGGATAGAGTTTCAGAGTGAGTGTCTCATAAATATTCACGTCCTAGGTATCTCACTTACCTAACCCTGGTCTGGTCCGGAGCGGTAGTACGGTAATTATCTGGGGAGCCTAGACCCTTGTATTTCACTCTGCCATCTTCTGAGTCACCTACAATGGGGGCCGGAATTTTGTTTCTTTGAGAGATTCCTAGAGGACAGCTATAAACTCCTCTTGCATCCCTGCTCTTCCTTCTGCTGGAAATGTTTCTTCTCCCTTCTATTTCTATCCTCTATAGATTATCTAAAGAACCAAGGTAGCATAAGTACATCGTGCCTTATATTGTTAATAGAAAGGTCAGTGGTTCGAATCCATCAGTTTCTTCTGGAGAGAAAGATGAAACTCTTCTCCAAAAAAAGATTTACAGGCTCAGAAACCAATAGGGGCCTCCAATGAGTTGTAAGCAGCAGTCCAACAGGCAGTGAGCTTGGCTTGTGCTATCAACTTGAAAGGCCTGGTGGCTTACTTTTGAAAATCAGCCAGTGGAATCACAGCGGTCTATGGTGCAGCCACTGTGGGGATGGCACAGGGCAGGCATAGCCTTGTCCTTTATAGAGATGGCTGTGTGTGTGTGTGTGTGTGTGTGTGTGTGTGTGTGTACTAGGAGACACTACAGCACCTAATAACAGCAATACAGACTAATCTACTCACATAGATTAGTCTAATCTACTCACTGCTGTTGTTGACCATCCATTTGGTTTCTAAAGCTTTACAACACATGATATGAGATCACACATCTTTCTCTTGAGGATCTTCTGGTGGATTTGAACCAGAGAGGCCCAGCCTTTGGGTTAGTGGGCAACTTGCTACGGAATACACTATTCAAGTCAAGAACAACTCACATATGACCTTTCATCTTAAATTGTTCCCTTTGTAAGACCTATAGCATTTTTACCCACCTCAAGGTGCTCAGAGGGGCCCCTGGTGGCCTAGCATATTGGTAATTGTGCTGCCAATCCAAGGACCATGACTCTCTGGTGTTTTGAATCTACTAGGAACTCTGCTAGAGACAGAGGGATAATCCCCTCTTGTGTGATATCAATGCTCAGAAACTCAATGGAGGGTCAGTTATGAATCGATTCTAACTGGACATCAGTGATTTGGAGTTAAGGTGCCCATAGTTTGCCCTATGACCTCTCTTACAAAAAGAGCAGGTTCTCTTTTCTTAAGAAATCCAAAATGGAGCTCTGGAATCACAGCAACAGTTGTCACAGCCATTTTCTTTGGGCAAAGTGCTTTTCTCTGCTTTATCCTGCTCCAATATTGTCCAACTCTGTAATGCACCCACACAGCAATTACAAACTGCCTTGGACAGTCTAATCCAATGCCTTGGAGAACATTCAACTCACAGCTACCATCCATCAGTTTCAGAGGCTAGAAATCTTTACAGGAGAACTCTGCCCATCTTTCTTCCAGATGGAACTGAACCACCACCCTTTATGTTAGCAGGGCACTATTAGGCACCATGCCGTCAGAGCACCTTTTATAGTTTCAATTAATATTCACCATACTGTGGCCAGGTCAGTTCCAACTCATAGTCATCTTCCATGGAGCTCCTGAGGGTATAAATTGGAAAAGGAGGAGACTGACCAGCTTTCTCCCTTATAGCTGCCAGTGGATTCAAACCTCTGGTCAAGTTTGGCTGTTGGGTTAACAGACTATGCCATCAGACTCTGCTCCCTTTTGTTGTGATCTGTTAGGTGCCATTGAGTTGACTAGACTCATGGAGACCGTGTGAACAACAGATCAAAAGCCTTGCCCTCATAGCAGTTTAACAGGACAGCAAATGATAGATATTGGAGAGGATATGGAGAGAGTGGCTTCATGCAGTGCGTAAAATGGTACAACCACTCTGGAAGGCAGTTTAGCATTTCCTCAAAATGCTGAGCATAGAAATCTCATATGACCCAGCTATTGCACTGCTGGAAATGTACCCTAAGGAAAATAGAACTGTGACCCAAACAGAGATTTGTATACCTATGATCATAGCAACATTATTCACAACAGCAAGAAAATGTAAATAGTTCAAAGGAATGGATTGGGAAATTATGGTATAGTCTCACAATGGAATACTATGCAGCAGTAAAAAAGCAATGATCTTGTAAAACACTATGTAGCAAAGGCAAGGGCTGCATGTTTACTGCGAATTTGAGGTTACTTGGAGACTTCTAAGATCACATTGCCTAACAATTTTTTCCCTAGAATGAACATTTTTATTGCTTGCTCTTCATTAGATCTTTGTCAGTAGCATCCTCACATTTAAGCCTTAGACTCCTTTGAAGTAAATTCCTCCGTGTGGCCATTTTCCACAAGAGGAAATTTGAGGCTTAAAGAAGCATGAGCTTGCTACATCGTATAATAAAGACATAAGACAGGCAAGCTTCAAATCTTGGTTTGACAGGCTCCAAACCCACAAGCACTTCAACCCTCCACTAAACCTGGTCCCTCATTGCCCTGCAGTATCTATGAAGAGATTTCAAGGAAGACTGGTAACACAGGCCTAGGTGGGGAAAGAAAAGACCTTCAAGCTTTCTAGATTTTTATGATGGTAGTTTAGTGGTAAGGAATTGAGCCAACAACCCAAAAGCCCCCAGTTCAGATCCAACAGCTGCTCCACAAGAAAACAATGGGCCAGAGAACAGACTGCTCCAATGGAGCAGCTGGTGGATTCGAACTGTTCACCTTTGGGTTGCCAATGCAACTCTTCACCCATGGGATTTATTGCCTCTGAAAACGTGCTGGAAGGCCAGCTAGGAACTGTTCCAACTCCGCATAGCAACAACATGATGCTTTCCACCTGGGGGAAGAACTCAGCTGTCCTTACTTGAGGGGTGGTTGTTCATTTGTCTTCCATGTTCTTTGTCGAAGCGCCCCCTTTCTATATCCACACGTGGGTCCGTCTGGAGTCAGAAGGGGCTTGGGGTCATCTTCGCGGTGCTCAGCACCTTGCCCCAGGGCCAGGCTGAGCCCTGTCCCCAGTGCACAGAGCAGCGCATTGCCTAGTGCAGGGACTAGGGGAGACGGATGCGGCGCCGCCAGCCCAGAGAAGGGGGCGGCGAGAGTCGGCGCGGGTGGGCGCGCGGGGCCGGGAGGGAGCGGAGCCCGAGCCGCGCGGAGGGAGGCGCGCGCCGGCGAAACACCCACTCGGAGCCCGAGCCTGGGCGCGCGCGGGGCTCGGCGCTGCCAGCACAGCTGAGGCCGCGCCTGTGCCCGAGCCCGCGCGTCCTCCCTGCCCGCTCCTGCCGCTGGCCGGCGGGGCTGCCAGGATGGAGGACTCCCAGGAGACGTCGCCCTCTTCCAACAACTCCTCCGAGGAGCTCAGCTCCGCGCTGCAGCTGTCCAAGGGCATGTCGATCTTCCTCGACGTAAGTAGAGCTGGATGGAGTTCCTTTGGTGGGTCTCTGGCATCCTCACCTGTTCGGCCGAGTGTGCGGGTGTGGGTGAGTGGGGGTACGTCTCTCTCCAACTGGAGTTTTGCCCCTAGAGTGTCAGTGAGACCATCCTCCGCCCCAACATAGACCCACTAAACCAAACAAGGTAAATTTAGAGGTAGATTGCCACTCCACTTGTGAAAACGCTTCCGGCAGACGTGCAGCTCGGGACTTAAGGAAATTCCAAAAGTTACATTAACCAACAACCTAGGTTTCGATAGAGACTAGGTTGTAAATAACACGATCTCCATTTGGCTGGATAGGTTGTTTTAAAAAGGGCCAGGGGGAGAAAGGCATTGTCTCTACTGTCTGTCATGCGCCTGTTTGCAGATGCTGGCCTCCAGGCTGCTCTCAGGCAACAGGGGAAGCGGCAGAGCTTGCTATGACCCTCCGCATCCCGCTCAGCTCCCCCAGAAAACAATTACTTTGCACATTTTTTTCCCGCTTTACAGTCTCGACCAAGATCTCTTTCATGATGATTTTCTTTTCGGTAACACTTTATATTTTTCCTTCTCCCTCCTGCTGTTCTTCCCTGCACCTTTCCAAGTTGTAATTACAGTTATCATCTTCATCAGTTCCAGCTGTTGGGCTCAGTGTCTGTCTGTGGTCCTACACCTAGCATTTGGTATTGAAGCCTCCATTTCTCCACACAATGGTCTTTTCTCCTCTACTATTTTTTCCCCCTGCTTGCATGCTGTGGTTTTTATCTTTATAGACTTTTTCTTTGTATTTTATTGCTCATTTTCCCTTCCTCTCTTTGTCTGTTGTTTGGCTACTCTGTGGGGTGTTTTTTTCCACCCTATTGCCCAGTTCTCTTTCCTTTGCCTTTGAGTTCCCAGGTTTTCCTTTCCTCATGTTGCCTGCCGAGGAGGTTCTGGCTCTCCAAGCCCCTCACTCATCACTCACTCATACACGCTAGCCCTGCTCTTGCCTCTGGCTCAGTGGAGACAATTCCAGCTTCTTGGTTTAGGCATGATGAAAAAATGGGCAAAGGGTGTGGAGGAGGGCTAAGTGCTATTTTCTTTATCCTTCTCGAAGTTATCATTTCTTATTAAAATCAACAAGAATGGGAGACAGGGCATGGGCCAGACACATTTTCTTTGTGGAAATAGAGAAAATACAGAGAAAGCAAATTATCATCATCAAAGCAAAGGTAATGAAGATAACAGAAGTGAGGCTAGAAGCCTTCCTGACAGTTTGATAGACTTGGTTTTTTAAATCAAAATTGGGAGATAACTCTTATTAATAATTTAAGCTAGTTTACAAAAAATTATCTTGACCACCCCTATGTCTCCCTGCAGCCTCCCCAACCTACCCCATCCCAATTCTATGCTGTTCTAATCTGGAATCCAGTCATTTCCTGATGGCCATATTCTTCCCACCAAAACAGAAATCTGATTCTTATTCCTTCTCGATAGGACTGTTCAAGCAGTTATTCTTTATAAGCATTCATCACTGCTGCTGGGTCAACCAGATAAAATTAATCAGTGCTATCCATCTGAAAGTTGGACAGTGAATAAAGATGACAGAAGAATGGATACCTTTGAGTTACAGTGTTGACTTAGGGAAGGATGGTGAAATTTTTACTCTTATAGTTTGATCATGTCATAAAGAGTCTGTTGTCAGAAAAAAGACATTGTATTTCCAAAGGTAGAGGTTCGGAGAAAGAGGAAGACACTAAAGAATATCGATTGACACAGTGACTGTAACAATGGGCTCAAGTATTACAAGAGATTGTGAGGATGGTACAAGGTAGAGCATGGTTCAGATCTTGTTGATATAAGTTGTAGTTGACTTGATGGCACATGACAACAACAATATCAACAATAATTGTTTAACCGATTAATCTGTTCCTCCAAGTCCTATAATTTAGGACCATGAAGCGCTTGAAGAACTGACTTTGGAGAGGGGAAGAAGCGCTCTAGCTGTGCTAGGAAGCCTTCCGGACAAGAGGGATTCAAGGTCCCTGGAAATCTTGTTAATTGTGTGGCTCAGAGTTCAGCTTCGCTTAAGTTGATTTATAGAGCACAACAGGAGCCTCCATCATTCTGAACTAGTCTTCAGTCTGTTCTCCCAGGATAGCCAGTGCTTGCTAAGTCACCCCATGACTGATTTTTTAAAAGTCTTTAACAAGCCTGGGACAGAGGTGAATGGATTGAAACTGTGTAAGTAAAAACATTGGCCTCCCAGACATGCACACACCAACCTTGCTTCAAGGGCTCAAACCATTGTTTTAAAATAAAAGAGAGAAAAATATGTTCAAAACTCCTTTATTATTAAATATGCCTGCTTGTTTCCTATTTTTGTAAACAAATAATATTTAGGTCCTTATCCTAGAGGAAACTTGTAGTCTCTGAGTACAGCTGCCTTCTTGCTGTTATGTCTATACATTTAAAAATAAAAATATAAAACAGATTTCACAGGAGAGGTGTTGACATGCTTGTTTACCAGTAAAATGCTAGAGTCTAGAAAAAGAACTGCCTCTGGATTTTGTCTCAAGTAGAAGAGATTTTTGTTTACACTTTTCCTTGAGATGTTTTGCAGAAATCTTAACACTCTGGTGAACATGTGACATATAAAAGAATTGGTTATTTAGAGATTTTTTTAGAATTATTTATCTCTAGATCATGTTGCCTTTAGCAAAAGGAAATGTAAAATATAAATTCATCATTTTATTTGATTAGTTTTAAGATCTCCTACTAGTACTGTTAAGGATTGTTTTTAATTCTGTGCAAACAATGATATTTGCTTTTTCTATTCCAAAATAAAACAGAAATATAATTAATTGTGGGCTTCTTGATCATATAGAATAATTTCAAAATGTAAATAAAATTTTTATTTCAGATGTTTACATTTTAGTGCATTTGGAATAATTTATCTTCCAAGAAATTATTTCAACTGCTTTTGAGGATATTACATAATGACATGACTAGACCTGTTTAGTTCTTTAGAAACAAGAGAGATTTTTTTAACGAGAATATCAGAGATTCCCCACAACTGTTGATGTTTTTGCTTCATCTTCCTAACTCTAAATCAGAAATAATCAGTATGAATCTTAGAAAGAGTGTTGTGAATATTAAATGAGATTCAATAGGATAGGAGACAGAGAAGAAGAAAAAGAACCATAAAAATTTAGACTATTATTGTTACAATAGTGTTCCTTGTTGAATGCATAAATAACAGTATCTAAATTCACAAATGACAAAGATGGTTCTTTTTTGGATATAAATGATATTACTTTCTTTCTTAAAATTTATAGACGTCAGTATAAACATTTGTATCTAGCAGAGCCTTGAAAACCTAGTGCAGGGACCAATTGAAGACTGCATAGAGGTCATCTCCAGTCCAGGGGAAAGCGCTGACGTGGGTCTAGTGTGAGGTCCACTGAAAGACCAGGAGCATGACAACCATGTTCTCTTTCACACCATTGCACAATCTTTGGCCAGGTTGTTGCATTCTAGATCAGAGAGTAAGCCCCAATTTACAACAATAGAGCATGTATCTTATAGACCCTCTTTTGAACCATTAGTCAACACTGTTCTTGTGCAGAGAGAGAAAAAGAAACTTTCATTTCTCTTCAGAGGAAGGTAAATCCCAAAGGAAGCTGGTTGCAACTCCATCCCCTGCTACTCTCCTTTCTAGCACTTGGTCTTTGATTTTTAACTTTGAGGTAAAGAGACGTGCCTTTGTACCACTTCATTGTTGAGCTAAAAGTGGGGACTGAAGGTGGGGAGACAGAGAGGTGACTTTTGCACACTGAAGTGGCCCTTGGACACAAGGTATTCCCTTTTGCCTAGTTGATTATTTCAGAAAAGTCAAAGGGTAGAATTTTTATTTTCCTAAATAATGCACTTTCTGTTGTGTAACTGCCACCTGCTGTCATGGAAAGGATATAATGTTTCCATGATGCTCAGCAGTTTGAGTAGAGCTTCTAGGTCAAGATGGGCTCGGAAGAAAGGCCTGATGCTGTGCTTCTGAAAACCAGCCAAAGAAAACCAAACAGCGGGAGTTCTCTGCCTCTAACAAAGGTGGGGATGACAATGGACTGGGCAGTATTTCATCCCGTCGTGTATGGAGTCATCGTAAGAGAGGCCAGCTCAACAGCTCACATCCACAAGCCCATCTGAGAGAATGGTAGTTAACCCATTAGTGTCAACTCTAATTGGCAAGACTAATTTCACTCAGCTAGTTTGAGAAACCAACAGAAAGCACTCAACTGCTGTCAGAAAGCCCAGTGGTTCCAATCAACCAGCCCCTCTTGAAAGGTGTGATAATCTTCATCTATAAAGATTACAGCTTGGAAACCTAGGAAGCAGTCAAAAGGTACCAATGAATTAACCTGATAGCAATGGGATGGATCTTCCTTGTCATACTTTAAGCACTGTTTTCACATATAGGGCATGTTGCTCTTGTTATGTGCCCTCGAGTCAGCTAGGACTCATAGCGACTCTGTGAATATGAGATTTGAACCGTGACCTGGGCCGTCCTCACCACCTCTGATGTGTCTGTTGTTGGAGTCACAGTCAATCCATCGTCTTGAGTGAGAGCCTTCCTCTATTTCTCTGACCACCTACTTTCCCCAGAACGGTGTATTTTCCTAAGACCTGGCCCCTCCTGACAACACACCCCAAATATATGAAATGAAGTTTGGCCATCTTTGCCTCTAAGGAGCACCCTGGCTGCACTTTTTCCAACACAGCTTTTTCTTTGTTCGTTTTGGCGGACCATGGTATGTTCAGTACTCCTCACCAGCACTACTATCCAAAGACAGCAATTTTCCTCAATCTCTTACTCATTGTACAACTTTTGCACACATAGAAAGCAATAAAAATGCCATGTTTTGGGTCAGAGACTCTTTAATTTTTCAGCTGACATCCTTGATCTTGAGCACTTTAAAGAGGTCCTTGACAGATTTCCCCAATGCAATACATCTTTTGATTTCTAAACTGTTGCTACCAAGGTATTGATTGTGAATCCACATGGTGTAGGGTAGGAGACACTTAACAGATGGTAGTTATTAATAATAAGAAATGTCTATTATTATGTTTACTTGTTATACCATGAAAAAAATAAGAAAAGATGCATTTCAACACCTCCTTCAATAATTTGGGAATGAGGAGTTTTAGATAAAGTATTCAATAGTATCTTTCTGAGATAAAGAATTTGATATGCTAATCCCTAAATTAAACTAAAACACTAATTCCTGACTTTACACTTTAGTTTGCCCATTATACTTACATAATACCATATTTATCATCCACCTCATGCTGGCAATCAGGGCAATTAACTGACCCAGATTACTGCATAACATAACATCAGAAACTCAGTTCTTATCTGCAGTACATTTTTTTAGTCTTTGGGCTCGGGGGCATAATTTGCAGCAGAGACAATTCTGTTCACATTTAATTACAAAGAACTGTCTGAATATCAAAAGCTACTAGCTTAATTTCATCTTCAAGAGGCTGAATCCTATTTATGATTGTTCTTTATGAAATGAAATCCAGAAGTCCTAGGGTTTAGATCTTTGGGGTGTGGTTATTCCTCTCCAGAAGCCATTCTAGGCACTTTGAACTGATGAGAACACAATAGAGCATGAAATAGACTCTTGGAGTAGATCAGAGGTAAGAAATAGGCTGCTTTTTGCATTTCCCCAAATCTCAGCTTGTATTCAAGGTGCAAGAGGAGGGGGCAGAAGCAAATTATAATGGTGAGATGGATCCCAAAAGCACCATTAGAAATTGCCTCTGTTGAATAAAAAGAATTTGTGTCTCATTCAGTTGTAACGATGAAAGCAGTCTTCTGGCAATGATTGCTTAACATTTAGTATTTTTAAAAAAAATTTGGGGACATATTTCTCAGTCAAAGAAGTCAGCATAATAGATAGGTTGCTGGAAAGGTTCTGTGTGTGAGATTATTTGAGTAAAAATATTGATATTTAATAACAAAGCACAGTATAAGAATGACTAATCTATCCCTCACCCTGTCAAGTCAGCAGAAGGAAAAGGATAATGTTACTTACAGTTGTTGTAAGGCCCTGTCGAGTCCAGTACTGCTGATAGAGGCGCTGTGACCTGAACCCTATCCTGTCCTGTGCCATCCTCATCATCTTTGATGCACTTGAACCCATTGCATGGAAGGCAGTAAAACAGACAGCTTTGGAAATGAGAGTACTCATTCAAGCTTCTAGCTGGTCACCCAGAAGGGACAATTTAGAGATAAAAGTTGACCCTGGAGGATATTATGCTGAGTGAAATATCTCAGTCCCAAAAGGACAAATACTGCATAGTGCCACTGTTGTAAAATAGGACTGACATTGGGGTTCGGGGGAGACTGAGAAATATGGGATAAATTTTGTATATTGCATTGAAACTGATGAGAGAGAGAGAACTGTTTAAAAGGGATATATGATTAGGTATTATTGTCATGACAGGAGTCCAGAACAAAGGCTGCATAGTGGAGTGGACTTGGGGGGAGGGATTGTATAACAATGAAAGAATTTTTCTTTTACTTTTCAAAGAGAAGAGCGAATTTGGGGGGAGGGGTAGACAGGGAGAAAAGTGCGACAATGAATGAATGGAAATCCAAAGTCTCTGTAAATTTTCATTAAAATGAATAATAATAATAAAAAAGTTGAATAAAAAAAAAAAAGTCTCCCTCTTTCCTTGCCACTGGGTCAGAACTTGACTCATCGGTGCCCCTCCCGTGGGTTTTCACAGGCTATGAACTGCCTAAGAGATTAGTCATCTTTCTCCTCGGAGCCACTGGTGGCTTCAAACTACCAGAGAGGTGTGGCCTTTGGATCAGCAGTGGCGTTTCCTTTGGACCGAATGCCAGAACTCTTTACAAATAGAAGACTAACTGGTTATTTAGCCATAGCTTCAGGTTTCCCAGAAAAAGATAATTCTCAAGTCTTCCTTCTAAATGACTGAAATTGGTCTTTACAATATGATAGAGGAAACTTCCAGCAGAAGGCAATACCTGATATAAATAAAATGTTGTTGTGTGTAGGCAAGTAGATTTCAACTCATAGTGGCTTTATAGGACAGAGTCGAGTGGGGCAGGTTTTCTGTGCTGGAACCTTTTACATAAGTAGATCACTAGCTATTTGCTCTCACAGAGCAGCTGATTATTTTGAATCACCAATGCGTTTGAACCAGTGAAATTGTATTTAGTAACCAGGTGCTTTGTCATCATCCCACCTGAAAGTCTTATATACAGCATACCTGTATGTTACATAGGGACCTCAGGTGGCACAATCTGTAGGGAGTCATGCTATAAACCCAAAAGCTGGTGGGTTTGAACCCACCAGCAAGTTCGCGGCAGAAATAAGCTTGACCCCCTGTCATGTAGTTTACAGCCTCAGAAACCTGCCAGGGGGGCAGTTATTAGTTGGTTCCAACTCAGTAACAATCAATGAATTTGAGGGTTTTTTATTATCTGGATTTTCTAACATAAGTATGTAGTCAACATACAAGCTAATTTGATTTTAGGTAACAGGAAGAAAACCAACAAAAACCCTCCAACTGTGTTTAGGATTTAAAAAATGGCAGTGTATTGTCTCTTAAAGCAAAAAGTCTGAGTTAGTTGGGTCAGGCTGACTTGTTCAGGGCCTCAGAGAGGCTGGTGGCCTAGTGTTGAAGGAGTTGTTTTCCTAACCCAAAGGCATGTAGTTTGAAGCCATAAGCCGCTCTGTGGGAGAAAGATGATCAGTCTTCTCCTGTGCAATTTACTAGCCTCTGAAAACCTGCTGAAGGATCAGCTATGAGTTGATTCTAACTTGATGGCAATAAATTGTTAAGTCTCTGTTTGACTCTTTTTCTGAGTGTTGCTTATTTTCGAGTTCCATATATTAACAAAATGACTGAGCATCTCCTTAGGTTCAAAGGCAGCAGAAAGGAACGTGCACCTGCCAGTAGCTCATATAAAACCATGGCCTGTAATTCATTGTCCCCAGTGTGCTCACGCCTGAGGAGTGCTCACGCCTGAGGAGTGCTCGTGCCTGCATAGCCCCTGTGGCAGGGGGTTGTGCCTGTCTGTTTGCCAAGCCAGAATCCTCTATCTGGTGATGGACTGAGGTTGGAGGAAAAAATTGGTTTTCCAGAAGAAATTTAAAATCATTACTAAACAGTAGTCAGCATTAAATGGATTTACAATATCAGGGAGTTCTGGTGGTGTAGTGCTTAGGGAGTTACACTAAACCAAAGGCTTTATGTGGATCTGAACTGCCAGAGAAGTACAGCCTTTGGGTTGGCAGCGTAACTTGCAATGGACCCCACCACGAGAAGTCTCTGGAAACATGACAGAGAGTCACTGTGAGTCGTTACTGTCTCTATGACAGGGTTTGCTTTTGTTTTTTAAAAAGATATCACGAACACTTAGTTTCTCTTTTCCCCCAAGCTTCTTTGAGGTACAACTGACTTACACGAAACTGTACATTATTAAGTATAAATTTGAATGTTGTTGCTATGTGCTGTCGAGTTGCTTGTGACTCATAGCGACCCTATGTACAACAGCCCTAACCTCTGCTCTGTCCTGTGCCGATCGCATTGTCTCTGATACACCCATCCCAATTACCCCAGTAACTGAACCAATCCACCTCATAGAGGGCCTTCCCCTCCTGCGCTGTCCCTCCACCCTACCAAGCATGATGTCCCTCTCCAAGGTCCAGTCCCTCCTTACAACATATCCAAAGTATGTCAGATGAAGCCTCAGAATCCTTGCCTCCAAGGAGCCACCTGGTTTAACCCTCTCCAGGATGAATCTGTTTGTTTTCCTAGCAGTCAGTGGTACCCTCAACACTTCTCCAGCACCACAGCTCAAAGGCATCAATTCTCCTTCTATCCTCCCTACATTGTCCAACTCTCTGATGCATAACAAGTGATAGCAAAGACCATGGCCTGTATCAGGTGCACCTTAGTCTCCATAGAGACACCATTGCTCTTCAGTAATTTGGAGAGATCCCTAACAGAAGACTTTCCCATTACAATATGTCTTTTAATTTCCTGGCTGCTGGTGCCAAGAGTGTTGACTGTGGAGCTAAGCCGACTAAAGTTGTTAACAATCTCAATCTCTTCACCATCCATCCTGATGCTGCCAATTGGTCCAGTGGTGAGAATCTTTGTCTTCTTGACATTGAGCCTCAATCCATATTGAAGGCTGCAGTCCTTGACCCTCTGCAGCAAGTGCTTCAGGTTCTCCTCAGTTTTAGCAAGCAGGGTTGTATCATCTGCATAACGCAGATTGTTGATAGATCTTCCACCAATCCTGATGCCACATTTTTCCTAATAGAGACCAGTCACCTGAATAATCTGTTCTGCATACAGATTGGAAAGGTATGGAGACAGGACACATCCCTGGCGTATGCCCTTCCCAATTTTGAACCACACAGTGTAGTTTTGAAATATTATAGCCTATCAAGCCATTAGTACAGTTAAGATAATAAATGTATTTGCCACTTCCAAACATTTCCTCATGACATATTTATAATCCATTCTTTCTAGTCCTGCCTCATGCCTAGATTGTTCTCAACTTACTGTCTACCTATATGACTTAGTTTCTTTCCTGTCAACTTTATAAAAAAGGACTCATACAGTAGATTCTCTCTTGTGTCTCTGGTTTTCACTTGGTGTAATTATTTTGAGATCCATCCATGTTATATGTACCACGAGTTTATTTCTTATATCTCAGGAGTGTTCCATTGTATTTATACACTGTAGGTTTTTATCCTTTTACCTGTTGATGGGAATTTGATTTTTTTTGTTTTTCTAATAAAAATATCAATTGATAAACTTTTATTTAAAATTTAAAATGGTTTTATTCAATAATAGTTGGTTTTTTTGTTATTATAATGGTTCTGTAAATATTTTTTAAAACAGCAATAAAATTTCTTTCCCCTTTTTTCCTTTCCAGATACTGAGGAGAGCAGACAAAAATGGTAAGGAAAAAAATTCACAGTTTACTATTTATTAAAATCTTACCATTCACACTACTGTACAGTGAATACTATGGAAGGAGATAAGCCCAATAAACTGACACATCATATATGAATGTCTGGTACCAGTGGCAGTTGTAGGCAAATCAATGGTTTCAGATATTCATGATATGAGGATTTACATTTGACTGAAAAATAGAAATTAAGTCATTAAATTAAGATTTCGGCAAGTAAATGGTTTCAGATATTCATGATATGAGGATTTACATTTGACTGAAAAATAGAAATTAAGTCATTAAATTAAGATTTCTTTCTTATTTGGGCTCTGGCTCATTCTTTTTATGTTTTAAGTAATAAAAATTGTATTTGCTGAGGTCAAGTACTATACATTATTCCTTAGAGTTATAAGATATAGAGCTGAAACTTGAACCGAGTTCTGAGTTACATCAAAGTCTAGACTTTCCACAATGGCCTTCGTGGGGCTGCTTCTGCATTCTAAGAAGGATGCCTGAAGTGTGCATTGCCAGACTTGGCTCTACCCCATAGTCCATTCAAAGTGTGGACACTGAGAGTATTAATACAGAGATGGAGAGGTGGCAAGTCAGAAGGGAAACATTGCTGTGTTAAAAACGAGAGTTTATGTGACATCTAAGTGCAGTCTTCAGCAGTATCTTTTGATTTCTTTTGTTCTACCAGAAGTCTTGTTTCATAGAATACCAAATCAGAGCTTATTATGTTTTTATAGCTGCTATGATATAAGTAGTATATTCTTGACAAGAATTATTTGACTCTCTAGGATACAGTAGATCCTTTCTCTTTCTTACAATCCCTTTTCGTGTCTATTTGTAGAGATAAGTCAGAGTTCAGATCAGACAGCTTAAAGTAGGCATAGCCATCTAGTTATCCATTTAGTAGCCAGATGAAGAAAAGCTGACTAATACTTTTTACCCTTTCACAACAAGAAATAGTACCCTAAGGAGCAAGAAAAATAATGTCCTGAGTTCTAATAATATTTAATTGTGTCTATTTGTTGTGATTTATATGTTATTAATCAAGAGGGCTTCTCTTTTCACATGACACACTTTATTAACTTTCTAGCAAGTCTAGTGATGTTGTCATTCTTCTTGCGCCTACCCAGTGGTCCTGTCCCTGATACCCCGCTCCCTCAAGGAAACCCAAATCTCATAGCTGTGAAGTCGATTTCTACTCATGGCAGTCATCCACTGGGTTCCAGCACTGTAAATCTTTACATAAAGTGTCTGCTTGTAAGTGGCTCCTGTAGAGTGGCTGATGGAATCAAACTACTGTCCTTTTGATTAACAACCCAACTCGTAATAATACGCTATGATACCCAGCCCCAGTAACACCACATGCACAGTTGAATAGCCTATCAGTGTCTATGCTATTAACCTTTCATGTAACCTTTCGTCTCCGGCTAAAAAAATGCTTCATTTTTTCCCCCCCAAGGCCTTGTTTTTCTCAGGCTGCTCCACACTTCCTGGGATGCCAAGGCTCCAATTTAGGAAGTTGCTATTGTCTTTATGTCTGTCACTCTTTTCTGTTATTTTCCATCAAAATTGCTTTCCTGGTGGCCCATTGCTGTAATACATCTCAAAAACTGCCATCAAATTGACAGCATCATGTGTGTCAGAGTGGAAATGTGCTCCAGAGGATTTTCAGCAGCAGGTTTTGGTGGCATCAGTCACGAGGCCTTTCTTTTTAAGATGCTTCTAAATGAACCTTTCTGTAAGTAGCTGGATGCATTGCCATTTGCATGAGCCAGGGACTTCATTACAAACTATAACCTGTTGCCTTCGAGTTGATTCTGACTGATAATGACATTATGAAAAGACAAACCCACTGCCTTACGATTCTGAATCATAGCAATCTGCCAGGAGATCCCTGAGGCTGTAGACCTTTCCCGGAAGAGACGGTTCATCTTTCTGCAGTGGAGCCACTAGTGCATTCAGACTGCCCAGCTGTCAGTTAGCAGAACAACACATAATCTCCAAACTGCTCCCTGGGGTTTCCAGGTCTATAAACCTTTAAGGAAGCAAACGACCATATCTCTCTCTGATGAGTATGATACTGACCTTTAGATTAGCAACAGAGTGCTTTCACCACCTCACCATCAGGGGACCTTTATATACATGTTGTTGTTGTTGTTAGGTGCCATCGAGTCATAGACGACTCATAGTGACCCAGTGAATAAAAGGCCTGAGCACTGTTCAGAGTTTCCGGAGGCAAGCCATTTTGGAAGTGGATGCCACTCCTGCTTCCAGGCTTGTTTTAATCGGGAGGCTCCAGCAAACACTGTCCACCCTGGGCAACCATTATCACATTTGGCACATCAGTGTATCAATGTTCAGCATCACAGCAACCACGAGTTACCTCTGTACAGCAATGCACAGACCAGTGCTATACCACCTAGAAGAATGTTTGACCAAAAACAATTTGAACCAGGCCTGAGGGGGCAGGTTAAAATCACCCACCTTGGGCTTGGTAGCATAACTTTCTGTCCACTAGGCCAACATAACTCTCTCTATATCATTGTTGTTATGTTGTTTGGTGCCGTTGAGTTATAGACGACTCATAGTGACCCTATGAACGAAAGGCCTGAGCACTGTTCATAGAGTTTCTGGAGATTTATATCCATAGTTGTTTTTTAAAAGCACCTGATAAATCAGTTCACAAGACTTACTGGCTGATGATGCCTTCACATGCTGTGCAGCACTGGCAGCCTCATGAGCCCCTGGATTTCTCATCAGTCCTGTATTTCTTTGCCTATGAGGTCTCTTCCCTATGTACTCCTTTTCCTAATTTTAGCTCTTAACATACTGTCAAAGCTACCTACTCCTGTGCTATTATCTTCCACAATCTTCCCCATGCATCCACCTCTACATCCTTCCTCCATGCTTCTGCGGTGTTACCTCTGTTTTCACCTCTGCCCAGTGTGACCTTTCCACCCTTCGTTTGTGAAACCCTCCTCTCTTCCCCTGGCTAGAGCTTGTCACCCCTCTGCCTTTATGGTGGAACCCTGTGGTGGAGGATTGCAGCTCTTTGCTGGAGAGTCTAGTACCCTAAAGCCAGCTGGCCTCTCTAGGAAATGTGTCTTATGAGCACACACTGCATGGCAAGTGTTAGATGCTCACTTAATCAATCAAAATTGACTGAAGGTAAGACATTCTATTATCCATCTCCCTTCTGTCTGTTTTCTCTTCCCTCTGCCTCTCTTTCATCCTTCCTCTTTTGTCTTGTGCTCAATGTGAAGTAGGGGAAGTTTGCAGTTAGGCAGGCCTACAGCTCTGTGCTTTAGGTAAGTGACTTGCACTATGTATCATCTACTTTCTCCCTTATAAAACAGAGCTGTCTACCTCGTTGCTATTATTATTAGGTGCCATTGAATCACTTGTGACTCATTGCGAACCTATGCACAAAAGCTGTGAAGCCTGCCCTGTACTAAACCAGTCTCACTGACCTCAACACACTTAATCCCACTACCCCAGTTATTAGGTCAGTCTGCCTCATTGGGAGTTGTCCTTTCCTGCACTGTCCCTCCACCCTTTCATGTATGATGTCCTTTTCCAAGGATTAGTCCCTCTTAGCCACATGCCTAAAATATGTGAGACAGAGCTTCAGAATCCTAGCCTCCAAGGAGAAACTTGGTTTCCCCCTTTCTAAGACAGACCTATTTGTTCTCTTGGCAGTCCATGGTATGTTCATTACTCTTCTCCAGCACCACAACTCAAAGACATCAATTCTTCTTCTGTCATCCTTAGTCATTGTCCAGTTCTCTGATGCATAGCATTTAATTGCGAAGATCATGGCCTGGATCAGGTGCACCTTAGTCTCTAGACTGACATCATTGCTCAGCACTCTGGAGAGGTCCCTGACAGCAGACTTCCCCAGTGCAATTTGTATTTTGATATCCTGACTGCTGGTAACAAGACTGTAGATGTGGAGCCAAGCAAGCTGTAATTGTTAACCACCTCAATCTCTTTTCCTTATCATGGTCCTGCCAATTGGCCCTATGGTGAGAATCTTTGTCTTACATTGCCCATTGAAAGGCAAATGGTTCAAATCCACCAGCGACTTCCTGGGAGGGAGAAAGATGGGCAATTTAGCTTCTGAAACAACTTCTGAAAACCCACTGGAGTATCAGCTAGGTGTTAGTTCATGTTAGATGGCACACAGTAACAGCAACCATGTATATTGTAGAATCTTGAACAATAAATGAGATAAAATGTGTTTAGTCCCTAGAGCAATGCCTAGTACACAGTAAGAACTTAATATATGCTCATTTTGCTACTATTTTCATCATTACAGTCATTTCTATTTCAGTGGAGTTTAGGGGGAAATAAGGCTATTTATCATGCATGCAGAATTGAAAAAGGAAAAAGGATGGTGGATAATCTAATGTAAATGAGAAGACACTGGCACAAAAATGTAAGCGTCCTTCTGTGCTATGTGCTCGTCACATTCTGTATTTGCAAATAAGCAGCTGTTACATATACTTGATCTCTTAGTAACAGGCCCTCATATAATCGAGTCCCTTGTGGACAGCGTAATTAGTGATGGAATAATAAGGGGAATGAGAGGTGATAAGCACTATGATAGTTATCTTGCCAGAGTTCAAATTTAGGTTTTGGAATCTGTCTGACATGGGAGAGAAACTGCTAAAGAAATGGAGAAAATGAAAACATGATTAGTGATTAGCTATAATAATCGTGGTCTAAAGAGTTGGCTTTAAAACGTTTTTTGGGTTGTTTTTAAATCATAGGCTGGGATCCTAAATGTAAAGATAGACTTCAAAATAAGATTACTCTAGAGAAACACAAGGATTTTGGTCTAGAAAGACCAGAATTAAATTTAGAAATGCAAAAAACTCTTAAGAAAGCGTACTTATATGCAGGTTGAATAAAAATGGAAATGATATTTGGGCATTTCTAAAACTTGCAAAAAACATTCTTTTTAACTTTAGAAACAAGAAAAAAAATGATTTC